GAGCGTAACAAATTCGGCGCATTGGGACTTCTGTTTTCTCGAAAGCTACCCCGCAAGCCGCACCATGAGAGCTTATGGGAACTCGCACAGCTTCGTCGAGCGACTCGATTTTTCGTTATTAAGTGACCAATGATTTGTTCGCTGGGGCAATAAATGTGTTTCACGTCGATGCTGTTTCTGTAGTATTTCTCTCCGTTATTTTCTTTACTTCCTAGATAGCATACAGCGTTGACCCTTCACTTATCTCGAGCGTGTGTTGCGTCCGCCATTAATTACACGCTACGCGTATAATAGGGTCGCACCGCCGATACGAAATGTCAGATGGCAAACCTTACAAAGTCAACGTATTTTCTTGTTTTTCTTTTTCTTTTTTAGGACGCAGTAAAGTTCTAATTAGTGCGCCCTTTAATCATAATTCAGAGTTTACCGAGTACGGTCGGCCGGTAATTACTTCGCTATTAATGTGTAAATACGGTTATTATGGAATAATGAATTGTTCGTTAATGAGATTCATCAGAAATAGAGAACATCATTTGTTATCCATAACGAGCCGACGGAAGTACCCGTGTATCGGATTTATTAACGCTGCGCGTTGGATAATAATGTTTTTCCTGTTGAATGGAGGCCAAAGTTTAATCAACTTCTGTATCATGTTCGATTTGACTTCCTGTTACGGTAGTTTTCAACCCCCTGAATGCCTCAATTGGGGCGCGCTAATCCGACGCTGCTTGCAGACCCATGCAATTCTACGTTTCTATCCAGTTCTAGGCTGCGTTCAATGTTACTTCGGTGTTGCAGCATAGTTATCGCTGTGTGTTCTTCGCGAGATAAATGTTTAATGATGCCGAGCACCCGGCTGCAGCTGATTTGAAAATACCAGCGAACGGACTGGGAATCAAGATTTACTACATCTTTCAAATCAACTTAGTGGACTCGAAATAAAATCTTTATATTTCTTTATTTCGGATTATCTTTTTTATATCTCGGGGGCTAGCTTCATTTGTTCTGCAGACGTGTCCTAAGAATTGGATTAAAATGAATGTAAAAAGGGATAGGAAGATTCAAAAGAAAGATACGAATTTCCATTAACACAGTGTTATATTTTCCGGAAACGTGACCAGTGTATCTAACAGGAAGTAGTAAAAGAAATCTGTTTTAGTTTTTTCACACTACACCGTGATTGTAATAAAAGTTCACCGTCACTATCGGTGTAATGAAGATCAGTATAGTAGCGTTACATTTTACAAAATATTTGGAACGTTAACATTTTTCACTGTTTCAAGTTTCGTCTACCAATTTTTGTCGTCAAATAAAACCTCGAGTACGACACTTTTCTTGCTCCATACAAAATGTCGGATTTCTTATCAAACTCAGATTGATGAAACGTTTAACGCACTGTGTGCGCGCGGGACGAGGTATTAATATCTTTTTAAAAAATTTAATTTCTTTTAATTTCGTTATATATTTGAAAAAATCCCTCTGCGAAGTCCTAAAAATCCTCGTTATCAAAATCTTATTGTCAGTTTTGCAAATGTTAACCCTTTGCAGTCGAACGGCGACTCTAAGGCGCCACTGAAAATTCCAACATCATTCTTCAGTATAATCTTTGCATTATTAAATTTATCTATATTTAATAAATCGTTTCAAGTGCAGAAAGCTGCATGAACAAATAAGCTTAACGTTATATGCACAACAGGAAAATAATGATTAAAAGTAGAAATACTATAGGTCAGAAGTACTGTCTTGGTCTTGACGTTAAAATAACTTCGACTGCAAAGGGTTAAACGTTTTTTCAATAAAACAGAAATAAATGTTTAAAGATCTATTAAAATCTCGCAGTATGTTAAAATTAACGTTCATTTGTTTTCCTCAAACGAATAATCCGACGTTCGGTACAACGCGAGCTAATAGAAGCTAGCGGGATTTTCTCTCCCGTAAATGAGAAAAGCTAAAAGCAGTGCGAGAAGTAAATTTTGATGGATACCGTGTCGTGCCTGTGCACCGGAAAACGCGACAGAGTGATCCTATACCGGCAGGAGAGCACGCACAGAATGCGTAAAATACTTGAGTCTAATGGAAATATAACGAAGTTAAGAGCAAAGTAAAGGTATTTTCGAGTCCCTTGTGCTCGGCCGGTGCTCGGCACGCGTTCCCCACGAGAACGATCCAGGCTGTTGTAATTCGTAGAGGAGCAAGTAGCTTTTTACCGTATGATATAGTTAATGTCACGCCGTGTCGTCGGTAATAGCACACCAGACCGCGCTTGTCGTTGATCAAGCACCGGTTAATTGCCTCGCTTAATTACAGGACCTCGGTAAGGAACTTATTTCTTCCAGCGCTCTCGGAGGCTGATATCGCCTCCTATCATTTAAATGCAGCTCTCCCTTGCGACGGCGGAGCAGTCAATAAGCCTCGTTTTAATTTAATTTCGACTAATTTCATGTTTTTCCCTCGAAACTTTCGTGAACGACCATCGAACGAGGCGAACGCGACGGTTACGGTTGTTGCGCTTTCGTTTTACCGTGCGGCAAGACGATTTTGCGAGCGATACCTGCACGGAAGAAATGAGTTTCCTTTCGCTCAGAATGGAAGAAGCACGATAGATCCGATTCGGAACTTTACGGAGCACTGAAAGCAACCATTTTATAAGTAGACAACCGTATCTTTGTGCAGAATAAACATTGTTCGCGTCAATTGTAAAAGGCCGTAACTAATTAGAAATCTCATTCATCTGCTAACGATACTGATATAGGTTGAGAATAATATGTCGACGTAATTAAATTCCTTTAACGCTAGTACTACCAAACCAGTTAAAATGACTGGTTTTCGATTTTTTTTTTCTTTTACAATTCAGCGTGATACAACGAAACAAATGCAGTAAACAAATTCCCCATGAACGTATCCTAGCGCTGAGTGCAGTAAATTCTCCCCAATTGTTCTTCAGCTTGTGAACAAAAATGGACAATTTGTGGGGAGGGGATACGATTATTCGAGCCTCGCGGCTCGTTTTTCATAGCTGCCGATTGTCAACAATTGTATTCGAATAATCGTATCTCCTCTTCTGAAATTGTCCATTTTCGTTCACAAGCTGAAGGACAATCGGGAAGTATTTATCGTACATCTTTCAGTGCGGCAACAATTCGTGAGCGAGCGAGAAGTGATTCGAATTTGCAAGATGTAAGTGTACTTCGTTCGCGACGTGGAGCAATCCTTCGGGCCAAAATAAAAGAATCATACATATGCCGGTGAGATTAACGCAGGCATCTTGTTGTTTACAAACTCGTACTCGCTATAAATGCCTCTCAGACATTCATTTAAATTACTTTCTATAGAACCTGCCTCGTAAAAAGATCTTGTTTACCAAGTGGAATATTCCGAGATGATATAAAAGTACTGTTTCCGCCTCAGTTCTTATACGGAGACATCCTCTTATAACCTGAAAAACTAGAAAAAAAAACATCGTGTAAATTTATGGCATTAATTGTCTGTTGTTTGCTTCACTGAAAAGAATGCATCACTCCAGCTCGGTAATAATTAGACCACGGATCTTCGTGCAAAATCAAAACTTTCGATTGCAAGAGGCAGGAATTAAATGAAAGTATGTACATACCCTTTTCTCTTGAATACCTCTATTGATTTTCTTGTCTTGTAATAACGAATACGCGTGTATTTACATGCATTGTATGATTTATTTATTTATTTATTTATTTATTTAAAAATCTTGGAATACTAGTTACGCTCTATTAACTCCGGTTAAGCCAGTATCGCTGATGCGAAATGGGATGAACACCAATCGGTTTATTTCATCGAATCGCTGATAACCGATGCAACCAGGTGTGACGTTATGCTCTTTGTAACGATTTACACTAGCGAGTTCGCTACGAATTCACTAGCGAAAATTCTACTGCATTTGTTGAACAAATATTCCACAATCGCTGTCCGATCGTACTGAATCGGAAAAAAGGATCAAACCGGACTCAAGGATATCTTAACACTTCCACGACCGCGCTAGAAGCCTCAAAAATTTTCATAAAATTAAAATATTTCATTCGATTAACCCTAGAAAGATAACCATATGACAACGTACGTAAAAGATAACCATACGCTTCAGAGGCGCATGCTTTTCTAAGGCGTCAATTTTATACTAACAATGGATATTTATTTAAGTTAATCTAGTCATTTTAAAGGTTTGGCATTATCGTAAAAATAAAATGCATTTATATTATATTTTTTTACATTTTAAGTAATTTTAAACTTAAATCACTAGACCTCTATGAAAAATTAACAAAAATCAACAGTCTTCGCAGGCGCCTCTGCGACGTAGGTTATCTTTCTCGGGTTAAACAAAAATGATGAAGCAAACTTATATGACATCGATTACTTCTTCAGCATTCGTACCTCTTGCAGATCTCAATAAAATTAAGCAATCATTTTTAATTTTTCATTAATCATCCATTCGGTCGTCAACCGACTGAATTTAAAACGGGGAGATCTCCCCGTTCGGTTGGCTAAGTGTTAACAAGGATATCTTATTTTGCAATTCTGCAAAGTTCCGAGACTCTTTCGTGGAAAACGCTTGAAATAAGTTATACTATTGGAGCAAGTTTTATGATAAAAACTTTACAAATTCTAAATAAATTCGGTCTTCTCACTTTTGTGAAGCAGTACACGCCAGTTAGTATTACTGCTTGGCAGGTTTAGTGTTAAAATCGTGCTTCTTCCTCGTCCGACGAATACCTGTCGCTAGACTATCGAGCGACAGGGATCAGATAAGCATTTTGTGCATCTTCGTGTTTTAATTAGTAAATTACATCGACGCCTTTGAGTGCCACATCAGCCAGCCGAATCTACGCGGCGTACGAACGTTGCCGATTACATTCTCTCCCAATTGGAGACCGTGCAAGGTTGATCGGGCACTCGAAAGGGTCAAAGAGAGGCGTGATCGTAGGTCGTTTCTAATGCTGTTGAATTCTTTCGTTTCCGAAACGCGTTTCTCTTAGACGACACCTGTCGATCCGACGAGTTCACGTGCACCAATAAGCATTGCATCCCGCAGTACTGGGTCTGCGACAACGACGACGACTGCGCGGATAACAGCGACGAGAAGGACTGCAAGCCGATCACCTGTAATCGCAGAACTGAATTCGCCTGTTCCGAGCATCATTGCATTACGTCGCGATGGAGGTGCGACGGAGACGTCGATTGTCCGAATCGAGCCGATGAGATTGGATGCGAGGTTCGTAAAGCCCTTCCGGCGGCTGCTAATTATATCTAATTAGATATTCGTTAATCATATCTGGTGCACTAACGAGGAAGGATCTTCAAGCGCCCGCTTCAGATTGCTTTGATTCTAAAATATGTTACAGATGACCAAAAACTAAGGGAGACCTGTTCTTTTTTCGTATATAGGGGATGAAACTACCCCTCGAAGTTAACCCACTATGGGCCCATGTAACTTTCAAGTCACAAGCTAATATATCCATATTTTACCAAATAGTTTTAGTTTTTTTCACAAGATGATGTATACGTCTTAATTATATAATGCTTCTGAAAAAACCGATAACAATATCGATGACGGTTGGCTGCACCCATCAACCTGAAATGTCAAAATAAATACCTTGCAAGTTGTCTGTAGATAGAAACCAAAGGGACCATCTTGTGCAATTGGGATTATTTGTGCTCTTGTCGGTGTTTACTAAATAAAAAAAAAAGCGTATATAATAGCTCTGAGTTCGTATATCAATAACAATTTATTTATTTCCTTTTCAATAATCATTTTGTTACTATTTGTATATGATACAGTTTTGTAACTTTCAGGTTACATTGGGATATTGTGGTAGATTCGAGTGTATTTAGGATAATAGTTGTGCTTTCTCCTATTTTCAAATTTATATATCAAATACCCAAAATATGGATACAAAATCGTATAAAAATAAAAGAGGAATTAGAATTAGACGCATCAGCGGTAATAGATCCGAAGATTCTTTATTAGATTCTGAGTCCGATGAAGATCGTCCAGTAGCATTTACCAGACGACGCATAAATATTATTGACAATAACGATGAATTTAGTACCGAATTATCATCGGACGAGGAAAATTCATGACCACAAAAAACTATTTGGCAACCAGTTCCAAGTGCAACGTATTTCACGCTTAAGCATTTATGCACAGAAGTGGAAACATTGTAAGCCGTTGTTACTTCAAAGTTACAAATCGAATTAATTATAATAAAGTTGTTTAAACTGTTAAATATATTTTTAATTATCATATATAGGTTTATAATAATAGATTTTCCGTTGCATAAATTTTTTTATATTTAAGAAAAAAATTCGGCCCATAGAGGGTTAATAATATACGAAGAATAGATCAGAAATTATTATCAAACTTGATATTAATTTAATTTGTGGCATATCTGGGTGGGTGACCGGTCAGCAAAATGTTAAGAATGATTCAATAGAATATATATAGCTTTTAAATGGCATTAATTTTATTAATGAAGTACTTACTCAGAACTGAATTTTCAAGAAATAATCTTTGCCCGAATTTGTGTTCGGCCTCTAGCACGATGAATGAAGTTCATTAATCGAGGATGGTTCACCCCTTGGTAACGGTGGCAGATCGTAATATTACTAATTTGTTATCATGCAATAATTTGTTAGCATCGAATCTAAGGTTTATTAAAGATTTCATGAAAGCGTCGTGCAGATTTCAACTCTTTTAAATGTACATTTAAACGACTAGAGGTTCATTCGGATCGATGAGATGCTGAAAATATGTTGTTATATGTTCCAGAAGAATCTCAAACGCGATCACGCTAATTGCGACGCGAAGGAATTTGCCTGCGGCGATGATATCACGTGCATACATTTAGATTGGTTGTGCGACGGGAAGACGGATTGTCCGAACGGTGCAGACGAATCGCCGGAGCGGTGCCACAATATCACCTGTAGACGTGATCAGTTTCAATGCGAAGATCGTCACACATGCATTTCGGGTATGCAGCCAATCTATTGCTCGATTGGTTTCATCAATCCTTCCCTAGACCTGCCTTGGCTCAACAGTCTACTGCTTGATTTGTTCGATCGACTCCTGCTCAGATTTATCTTGACTCCAAGTATCAAAGTACATAGTTCCTTAGCTATTCCGTTTCTGGCAACTGATTTCTATACGGTTTTGCTAGAATCGATGGAAACAAAGAGGAAGCACCTTCAAAAATATTTGAAAAAAATTAATAAGTATAGTAGCAAATGGCTCAAAAGCAATGTCAATCGTACAGTTATTAAAACGAATGAAATTGATCCGAGAATTAAACTAGGATTAAAAAGAATTACCAAATAAAAACTGAATTTCAGAATTCACACAACTAGGATTAAAAAGAATTACAAACAAGTGTACCAATAAACAAATGAGAAAAGGGAACAATCATGAAATTAATATTTGTTGAACGAAAGATTGAAAGCTTTGTATCAATAACGAATGAGCAGCTTTAAATTCAAATGATTATATAAATGCTGAGCAGATCCTGTTCCTCCGAGTTTACGTGGCAGTGTAATTTCTGTGATCTCTGAATTATTGAAATATTGTAGGTCACCTGTACTGCAACGGCAACGCGGAGTGCCCGGATGGAAGCGACGAGAAGAATTGCACAAGCAGAACAGCCGCCTGCGATCCTTTGACCCAGTTCGAATGCAGCGAGGGCTCCTGTATACCTATTAGCAAGGTGTGCGATAAAAATCGGGATTGCATCGGCTGGGAAGACGAGAGCCACGATCTTTGCGGTGTAAACGAATGTCTGACCAACAACGGTGGATGCTCTCAAATTTGCATCGACTTGCCTATTGGTTTTCGATGTGGCTGCAATCCTGGCTATAGATTAATTGATAATCAAACATGCGACGGTAAGACGAAGTATCAAGCTGTGTGTTCAGAATTACATTCTCTGTAAACACTCCACAATTCTTAGGATTCCTGGGATCTTCTAATGAATTGATAATTTCAACGAACTGTCTTGTGTGTGTGTGCAATAACATCTAATAACTTATTTTAAAATAATCTTTCACAAAAGGAAATGAATTAAGCTTTCTTTAGACACAGCAGGGTCATTTATTGACGCTTCAGAAAGCTATTAGGTTGGCCAAAAAGTTCGTACAGTTCTGCGACGGATGAAAGGAAAGACGTACATTGTCAAGAACTGCGCGAACAATTTGGCCAATCTAATATTATTAGGATTCTCCATGATTGAGTCATACCTGGACACACACAGCGGATTTTATGCATTTATAGCAAAATTGAATAATTTGCAATTTAAAGTAGTAGGAAGATTGAAGCTATTGACAAATGTCAATGTATTATTTTTAATCCATTAACATGATTAAGGAAAGAAAGAAATTTTTCTATTTCTTAGAATTAATGGAGACGATTTTTATTTTGCATAAATTTCTTCTCTCAAGCAACAAACCAAAAGAAATTGCTCGACTACTGGATGTGAAGTGTTCGCTCACAATTAGAGTTAAATTTATCTTGTATTCGGTAGAACTTCTACCCAGGGCATATACAAAATCAAACGCATGACCATAATTCCAGTTCCAACATTAAATGTCGCACATTTTGATTTCCTCAGACATAAACGAATGTCTGGAGCCAGGCAGCTGTTCCCAATTCTGTATGAACCAGAAGGGCGGCTTCAAATGCATTTGCGCCGTGGGTTACCTCAGGGACCCACGAAATCACACTCGTTGCAAAGCAGCAGAAGGCCACGCGAGCCTCCTTTTCACCAGGCGACACGACATCAGGAAAGTAGCATTAGATCGGCAAGAGATGACTGAAATAGTAAACAACACGAAGATGGCGGCAGCCTTAGACTTCGTATTCCGTACGGGTATGATCTTCTGGAGCGACATGAGCGAAAAGAAGATATACAAGTAAGCACTGATATTCCTTCCCCATCCATTTCCTCTTTCTAAAAAAGATTCTTACGGTTTTCTCTGATCCTTTAGAGCTCCGATTGACGAAGGAAACGAGCGTACGGTCGTCATCGATGATGGTTTAACAACGTCCGACGGGCTGGCTGTCGACTGGATTTACAGTCACATCTATTGGACCGATTCTGAGAAGAATACTATAGAACTGGCCAATTTCGAAGGTAACATGAGGAAGACTCTCATACAGGATCGCATACAAGAACCGAGAGCGATTGCTCTGAACCCGTTGGAAGGGTGGATGTTCTGGACCGATTGGAGCGACGAAGCTCGCATTGAGAAAGCTGGCATGGATGGTTCCCATCGAACGGTAACATTTTAGCGATTAGAATTCTCTAAATTAGAAGCGCGGATCGTTAACGAGCGAAATTCCTTTGCAGGTAATTGTAGACAACGACGTGACATGGCCGAACGGTCTGACTCTGGATTTAGTAGGCAAGAAGGTCTACTGGGTGGATGCTAAATTGTACATAATTGGTTCGTGTAATTACGACGGTTCTGGCAAGCGAACGGTTCTCTATTCTCCCGTCTTCCTGAGGCATCCGTTCAGCATCACGACGTTCGAAGATTACGTCTATTGGACTGATTGGGACAAGGACACGATATACAAAGCAAACAAGTTCACCGGCAAAGAGGTCGAAGCCGTGACGTCCGTTCGCACTTTGCAGCACCCCATGGTGGTTCACGTGTACCATCCGTATAGACAACCGGACGGGATGAACCAGTGTCAAGCTGTGAACGGACACTGCAGCCACCTTTGTCTCCCTGCACCGAGAATCAATTCGAAATCACCTCTACTTAGTTGCGCCTGTCCGGACGGTCTAAAGTTAATGCCCGACGGTTTGATGTGCGTGGAAAAAGGTGAGCAGATCGCGCCAAGATCTTGTCGTTTCTAATTTTAACCGAGTTGCGTGCATTGGTTTAATATGCACTGAATGAATAACGTGAAATGGTACGTTTTGCATGTCGTTAGAATAATTTAACGCTTATGGTACAAACGCGCAAGACTCTTCGAGAACGGCATGCATATGATGTTCTTTGAATTCAGCGGCGATCGAGCAATTTATTATTTATCATTATTATTTTGGCGTACATTTATTACTTTGTTAATTATATTATTTTGCATCGGTGTTGCATGAATATGGGATATTCCAGTAACCACAACTGTAGCGCCCACCACGCAAGAAAGTAGTATGCCGTTCAAGAGACTTGAAATGTTCAACTTTACCACCACCACTGTTCGTAAGTATAATTGCACGCAATTTCTGGCGCAGCGAAACATATATTGCGTTGTTTACGATCTCAGATGCTCGGCTTTAGCTTATTCTCTTGAGTGTATAGTTATTAATAGTCACAACTAGTGACTGATCATGAATAGACTGCGGATTCTTATGCAAATTCGCAGTTTTATTTATTCTTTAGAGATTCTTTATGGTCAAAGTAAAAGTATTTTAAAAATTCACAAATGCCGTAAGCACATAAAGATCAGCGGTCTAATCAGAATGTGGGATCTGTACAGTGTAGTTCAAGCTTAACACACAGCCAGCTCTTTATATCACGGTATTACAAACTAACAAAGGGTTAGAACACTTTTAATACTACTTCATAAGAAACAAACGTTCTCCACATAAAATATGCTTGTTTGATCGAATAGTTTGTTTTTATCAGGGATGTAATTTATATATGCTTTTAGATCCACCACCGCCAGTTGATACAGAAGGAAAAGGTAGTCTTGCAACCGAATCAACGGATGCTGGTTTGGTAGCTGGTATAGCGATAGGCGTTGCATCGTTTGTACTGTTGCTGCTCGCGTTGGTCGCAGTATTATGTTACAGGCATTATCTTCACCGTAATGTTACAAGTATGAATTTCGACAATCCTGTGTATAGGAAAACCACCGAGGATCAATTCAGTCTTGAGAAAAACAGGTTTCCACTCCCCACTGCTCCCGTTGGAGAAGAGGTAATTAATCAGCGGCACATAACGTCGTATAAGGATGATTTATTTAAACAGAATCGCTTAAATATCATCCTATATGATTTTAGTTACTAATTTATTTGCTAATAAACTGAATGATTTTCTGCCAACAGGCTCAGGAACCTTTAACGAGTCCTGGAACTAATGATTACGTTTAAGACTCACTCTGTCAATGAAACGGGCTTAGCAGGCTGTTAAAACAATATCGACCAAGTAACGGAAAGAATGGAAGAACGAAAATTATGTATAAAAGACGATGAAGCACACTGATAACTCAAGCGAGCCTGTCCAATAGTACACCTGCATTTGCCCGCCTGCCTGCCAACTCAGCTGTGATTATGTTTACTTTTTTGTTTTTGTACTGTGCCTATTTGTTTACAAATTAAGCATCATGTCATTATATGCGTGCTAACGCGCGTGCAACATTTAGATTTGCTCCAAGGCATAAAGGGAGAAATGTCTAGGTGAACTGTAATTGTTGCCAAATAAGCGTGTCTAAGCTCGCGTGTTTCGAAGTAGTTCAATAAGGTACCAGAAATTCCTACTTTGTAACGTTCTCTTCTCAGTTTTACATGCGTAACGTGTAATATATAGTACTATTTCACACATACACACACACACTAATGTGGAGTCGCACGTCGCATCTACGTTTAAATTTATATAAATATATATATATATAAAAGAATACATAGAATATTTTTATCTACATTGTAAGATCTTTAACTTGTTATTGTTTCACTATTTATTCTGTAAGAGTATACGTTCTTAAGCATAACTTTCAGTTACATACATAGATATATTGTTGCATTATTGAAATCACATGTATATAACACACAAATTCAAAATATATCATAGAGATAATTTTAAAAATCATTAATAACGCTATTGCATTAGTAATACTTATTGAAAAACTTTTGTCGTATAGTTCTTTGCGAGTTTGTTAAATTATTTATAATACGTTTAAACGTATACATCGTAAAGTACTCTGTCGTGCCAAAAGAAGAAAGAAAACGTCCCGAGAAATCTCAAATCTAATGGTATGGATAGCGATCGGACATCTTTTTCGTGAAACCAATGTAAACTTTTTTCCGGTATCGTATAATAGGTCTAAGGATAACAATACTTGCATTTGAACACGCAGTAATAGTTCAAAGAATGGAGTTTTAGCATGCAAAATATGTATCTCATTTTTGTACATGATGAAAAGTAGATTTCTCCTTTTATGTCACTTAGGCGAGACACGAAACAACCGGTGCTTCGAGCACGTTCACAGAAACATTTTTTAACAGCGACCTGTGTTTATGTGGGTGGCTCATATCACAGCGACAACACTTTTCTCACGGACATTCTGTTGATGTTATCATTCTAACGGAATAGTTTGAAAACAAATTAGACGTAATAAGATCAGCTCAATGACACTAAGTGGACTGTGTGTTAAAGTAAAACTGTTGTTTAGGTATTTCAGCCCACTAAAAAGAAACTCAGTATATATGTATAGAATTATCGCCTCCGGCTTAAGAGTTTTACTTATTACATACTTTATGATTACTGTATTAAATAATTAAATGTGAGACAGACGTTCTTCTAGATAAGATTACTGAAAAGTATATATATATATATTAATATTAGGGCAAACCGAGAGCTGTGTACATTAAACAGTAGCAACATTATTTTCTCCGATCGTCATATTCTCGCAAAACAATTGTTCTGATATCCCGTTTAAAATTAATTCGAGGACTTAAATCTCGAACAGAATTTTCAAAAGATAATACATTTGATCGAACCAACCGATAAAGTTGAAAATTAACGTTTGCTACATTTTAATAGAGTACACGTTCTAGTCTGCAAGTGCAAGAAAGCAAAGTCCAAAATTAAAAGAATAGAGGCTCGGTGGTGATTTTAATCAAACGATAGCAAAAGTGTGGTGAGTATCAGTTGCAATAAATTATGTGAGTCACAAGGCATAATTTAGCCGATCTATCCGCCAAAATCGTGTCAAACATTATTTCTATGCAATATATATTATCACTACACACGCATAATATAAATATATATTATATATATAATTTATTATAATGATTATTGTATAAATAAATATACAAAATAAATCACACTACCCTCATCATTATCATACCTATTAAGAAGTGTAAAATGTATAATTTGTAAAAATGTACTTTGGAAATATAGAATAGTAATTAATTTCTTTCCTGCGTTATGCATCGTACGTAGCGTGCAAATTTATATATGAAATAGTTATGAAGTTTTGCTAAGTTGTAGAGATTCTATTTTTCTTTTTTAGAAATACATAATGCCTTTTTAAATAACCCATTTATAGACCTTGAAGCACTATAACCACATACCGATAAAACTCCGCATTAAATCACTCCTACGTGAACAATACGAAGTTGTAAAATAACAATAATTATGACAAAATTAAGGCATAAAACAATTAAAGGATACGGAAGTGTTCAGGACAATTTACTGCCTCGATATCACATAAAAGAAACGCATAACATTATGAAACATACTATCCACTTACCTATTGTCTAACTTGTTAATTAATTACGTTTTATGGTGTTTTTTTCAGTTTTTTCACATGAGATCGATGCAGGAGATTCTTCTGAACAGCTCTGTGCACTTGATTAATTTTTTGTTGCTTTAATTGTATCATAATTAATGTTTTTCGGCGGCCTTACGTTGTGCACACGCGGGAAAGCGGCACAATTTCTAATAGACGAATCGATACATCGAAAATATACAATCAGTGAAACGATAGCTCGCATGTGACGTTCAAACGACTTGATGCAACGGTTTTCCTGTGTTTACATAAATTTTTGAAAATAATATGAGTAATACGACCAACTATCCCTCTTGTATAAAAATTGTAAGTATTTCATAAACAATAATTATTCTATAAAAATAGCGTACATTAAATACGAATAATATAAATTTTGACGCAAATTAATATTGTTAGCCTGTCACTAGTTCAAGACAAAATAATGCAATGGTTCCTAAAACATTAGATTTAAATGAAGTATTAGCACTTAACAGAGAATTAATAACATTAGCCAATCAAGCATTTGGAGAAGGAAAATGGAATCACAGTGTAACAAATCAAACAATTGGTATGTACCTTACTTTCATTTTAAGTACTCTTTCATTACACGATTATTACTGTTCCACTCGTTCAGATTTTGTAGAACTTTACATGGGCAAATATGTTTGTGGATGTGCAACATTTGTTAAGATTCAATTACATAATGGTACATATCATGAAGATATGGCGTACTATAGTGCAGAAGGAGCTACAAAAGGTTTAGCGATACATTCTGCAAGAATTGTATGATTCCATATTTATATTTCAATGTTTCTTATTTTAATTTCTAATTACTTTAAAAGTAATTTTTAATTTTTATATTCAGGTTTCTCTTACAGAAGCATTCAAGAAAGTATTAATGTGTTTTAACTATTTCATAGAACATGATATAGAGAAGCTACTAACAAAATCATCTAATTCAGATACAAATAATATTCAAATAGAAAATGTAGAGTGCTCTCTATCTGACTTTAATAGCGATATGTTGGAATCATATGCACAAGCAAGTCCATCTAAAAAACAGAAAACCAATGTGGAAGAGAACAAGCCAGGTTCATATAAAAATCTTTCATGAATGAAGTTTCAACAGAATGGTTTTTATTATTGGGAACTTTCTAGGATCAATGTTCAAATCAAAAAGTTTATGCAATCAGGGGGAACATATGTCAGTACCAAAACTAGAAATAAAATCAAAAAGTGCGACACTAAATACAAGCAAATCTAATCTCATAACGAATACAAATAATGTAAAAGGTCAGTTACAGTCCGATTGTACAAGTTCTGAAAAAGTGCAGGAAATTAACCAAAAGGAACAGGAACGAAAAACAGGTAAGTGACTTAATGTTTAATGAAAAGCCGACATTAAGTTGCATGCAAATGATTACAGCATTAAGTGAGGAAGAACTGTTACGAATGGAACGAAAACGAAAGCAAATGGAAAAAAAAGCCGAGTTTAAAAGATTAATGCTGGAAAGAGAACAGCAAAAAAAGATGGAAAGCATGAGACCTAATCCCAAATATTAATACAAAGTATTATGTACATATAGATATTATAAACTAAAAGACACGAGAATGTAAATGTAACATAAGCTGATATGTAATATCGTCAATTATGAAAATTTTTACGAAAATTTAATTTGTTTATGTAATACAAATATATGTGTAATTGTGTATCGTTCGCATTCGTATTGTACTTATGTATTATGCCGAACACGTGTTGTGTGTCTACCACTAAATGTTAAGGTTAGAAATTACATGAAGTGTAGATTGTGTCGAACGAATATATATAATTGATCTAGAACGAAAATATTTAATTTTTATAACTGTACAATTATTTTTTGTAAAGTAATAAAGTATAATATTTTGTTATCATGGAAAGTGGAAATATGGATCAGTATTTTAAGAGTTATGAAGAACTTGATGTATGTATAGAAATATTATCTATTATTAATTTCATGTATGTTATCTTATTTAATACTATTTATAGGTGCATCAATTAATGTTAAATGACAAGTCACGAACTCTTACTTACAAGAATGCAATTATTAATTCTAAACAATTATTTGAGAACAAAATTGTTATGGATGTTGGAGCTGGAACAGGCATTATTTTCTAATTTATCTTTAAGAGCAACATCAATTTTACAGAACAGTAATGTTGAATGAATTATTTCTAGGAATATTGTCAATTTTCTGTACACAAGCGGGTGCACAAAAAGTATATGCAGTTGAAGCAAGTGATTTAGTTAAACTTACTGAAGAGGTTGTAACGGAGAACAAATTGAATGATAAAATTACTGTGATCCATAGTAAAGTGGAGGACATTGATGCGAATAATGTTGGTAAAGTTGATGTAATAATCTCAGAGTGGATGGGCTTTTATTTATTACATGAAGGAATGTTGGACTCTGTTATTTTTGCAAGAGATAATTTTCTAAAAGAAGATGGCATTCTTTTTCCATCTGTTGCTAAACTATATGCATCACCGTGTCAACTGCCATCAATGTATAGCTTTTGGGATGATATTTATGGAGTCAGTATGAAGTAATAACAAATAGTTTATTGTCATAAGGGAACATTTTTATTTTATTATAATATTTCATATTTGAATGCTTTTTATAGATGCATTGGACAGAGATACAGAGAAATGAAATCGATAAAACCAGAAATATTATTTGTAGATGAAAAAGATCTTTTGGCAGAGGGAAAGTTGTTGGCATGGTTAAATTTACAGTGTATTGGCATTGAAGAATTAGATCTGCTTGGAGGAGAAGATTATGTTTTCGTTTGTAACAAAGATGGAAAGTATCAAGGAATTTGTATTTGGTTTGATATCGAGTTTCCGGGTGGTTTGGAATTATCCACGAGTCCTCTTAGTGAAGCTACTCACTGGAAACAAACTGCTATTGTTTTGCCTGCAGACGTAGACGTAGCGAAATACGAACCTGTCGCATTTAAATTGGAGCTGAAAAGAAATTCTATTAAACCTAGACAGTACAACATGGAGCTAGAGCTGTTGGATGCTTCAGAAGTGGATCATGATTTTCCTTGTAATTGTTATATGACAAAATGCATTGTGATGAAAACATACTTATATGAGCAAACAGATGATAATGAAACAAACGAGTGATTTTCTTACGCTTATATTGTAAAAATGCATTTGTCTACAATGCTTTAACAGTACCTGTGATAGAAAGTCTTTATAAAGTGTATTAATATTTGTTCTGGAAGGTTTTTAATAAAGTATAAGAATTTGCACATGTATAATGAAATCATTTAAATTTTGCACAAAGAATATTGTAGATCCAAAATCCGCCACCATAGACAGCGCCTCCACCGCACTGCTCAAAAACATGACAATATTATTTGAGGTTATGGATTCATCGATACACGTGGACTAGGGACGCATTAAACATTACTTGTTCATGGAATGAAATATTGCTTAATAATTTAACAATAAGTAGCTATCAATATTTAGGACAGAATGCCAGTAATGAACAGAGTCGTGTGCGTATTTTCAGTTTAGAATTTTATTGTGACATTTTTTATGTTTTGATCAGTGTGCATATACGTATTCTTATAAATTAATATCGGAATTGTTGCTATAGGAAGCCAAGTACTCACAGAGGCAAAAGAGCAATTTTGAAGAGAGAACCGAAATTAGTGGAAGATGTCAAGGAAACTCTGTGTTTCAAAGGAAAAAACACTTCTCAAATTGTTGTTGATTTCATGAAAGATCTGGTAAGTTGAACTACAAAATTGCAACTCGAGAATGGCAACAAATATGTTAATTTGCGAGTATCATTAATGCAAAATTGTCATTGTTTATTTCTTACAGTACAATCTTAAAAAGCCTAATGCACAGATAATGCAGAAGAAAAATGATATATTACCGTTTGAAGATATCACTCTCATTGAAAAGTTTGCTGTCAAATACAATGCACCACTTTTCATGATAGCTTTGCACAATAAAAAACGACCCCATAACATTGTAATGGGTAGAATGTATGAAAATACATTGCTGGATATGGCAGAGTTTGGCATAGAAAATTACAAAAGTTTAAATGACTTCAAAGTATCAAAAATTTCTGAGGGATTAAAGCCTTTGTTGGTGTTTAATGGAGAACTTTTCGAAAATAATTACGAGCTTGACAGAATAAAGAATTTGTTTGTAGACATGTTCCAAAGAGAAGTTGTCGAGAACATTCGGTTACAGGGACTTGAACATGTTTTAAGTTTCACTGCTGTGGAAAATAAAATTCTCTTAAGGAGCTATAGGTAAATTAACTTTTCAATGACTTTATTAAGTACTCGTATGCTGCATACTTACCTTTTTAATATAATCTCTTATTTCAGAGTATTGTTAAAGAAATCTAATAGTAGAATACCAAGAATAGAATTGGAAGAAATTGGCCCTAGAGCAGATTTAATTTGTAGGAGAACAAAACTTGCTTCCGCGGACCTCTTTAAAAAGGCGTGTAAGAAACCGAAGGAGTTAAAGATCAAAAAGAAGAAGAATCTTTCTAAGGACAACCTCGGATCAACTTTTGGTCGCGTACACGTTGGGGCACAGAATATTACTAGTATTCAAACGAGAAAAATGAAAGGCTTGAAGAAAACAATGGCAGAGAAGAAGGCCGGTATGAAACGAAAAGGTTCAGATGCTGTTGCTGATGACAGTCCAAAGAAATCGAAGAATGTTACCGATTCAGCCGATTGAGATAATTAAATACGAGTTCCAATGTAAATACATAGGAATATTTTTATTAAAGCGCTATTTAAAATATCATATCCTTTGGATGATTTTTAATTCAGTATGACTTTATACTCCAGGTGGTCTCAGTCTTGGAATCCTGCGGATAAAACAGCAAGATTATGATTCTCTATATACGATGCATGTAATCGTTAAAATAAGTACCTTCACGAGCACCCCGCACTTCGAAAGATCGTTTCGTGCTTCGTCACATGCAGACAGCAAAACTTTATCCGATACATTTGTTTCCTTAGCCCTGTTTCGAACAATTTTCCTGAATTTTATGAAGTATTCAATGAGATTATTCACTTTGTTTTCATCCGCTATTTCTGAGCGTCCAATTCCGAGCTTTGAGAACATTGTAGATACATAATCTGAGACTGCACTTATGGCAGGTATACTTCTGCTTGTGGCTGGTTTCTTTCGTAAAATAAAACAAAATTGTTTAAATAATATGATAATCTAATTATATAGACATTACATAGATTTTTATACTTACAGAGGAATCATGCAACATTTTATTTCCCATATCGATCAGTTTCAATATCGAGTGTGTTGCTTGTGAGGTGTTAAAATTATTCGCTAATGCTGCATCAACATCATTTTTCGTTTCCTCTAAACACTAAAATAAAACTGCATACTCGTCATTCTTAAAATCTAAATATCTGTGAACGATGGCAGGGGGGGGGGGGGAACTTACATAGAGCAGTGCAACTTCGTCTATATTGCCGAATGACCATCTTCTAGCGACATAGTTGTTGCAATTAGCAACGAAATGTTCCACTTTATTCATTATGCTTACTGCATTATTCATTACTTCATCAGAGAATTCAATATCTGGAAAATGGTGATAATTTAATTTAACATACTTAATGTTAACATTTCGTATATGAATGAAATATACCATTATTGTAATTGGAAAGTAAGCATAGCATTCTGAATTGATTTGCAGTATATTTTTTAAGGAGTTCTCTTATGCTAATAGTATTCTGAAGACTTTTCGACATTTTCACATCTTTTAAGAGCAGATGTCCACAATGCAGCCAATAATTTACCCATTGATTCACGCCATGGAAAGAGCATGACTGGGCTTCCTCGTTTTCATGGTGTGGAAAAACAAGATCTATCCCACCACTGTGAATGTCTATGGAATTTCCAAAAACTGTGCTATTTAAAATAGAAATGTTAATTTACATATAGATAAGGATAATCTGTATCATAGGAATTCCATTAAATGTTCTAGAAGACATTACCTTGCAATGGTGCTACATTCGATGTGCCATCCTGGTCTTCCATTATCCCATGGGGATTCCCAAGATGGTTCTCCTTTCTTGGCTACTTTCCACAGTGCAAAATCTAACGCTGATTTTTTATTAGGATGATCACTATCTGGAAATGGAGGTGATAGCTTGCCATAAATATTATGTTTGTTTACATCGAAGTATACCGATCCTGTAAAGAATTACTACTTATGAGAAATTATTAATAATATTCAATACCTATATAAGTATGATATTAAATGTTTGAACCATCTTTTCCAACATATGCTTCTCTCTTCTGAACAATATTATCAATGAAATTAATAATTTCGGGAATGAAATCAGTAACTCTGCAATATAGATTAGGTTTGGATACATTTAACATATGCATGTCTTCCATGAATTCTCTCTCGTAATGTTTTGATATGTCTTGAAAGTTTCGATTAGTCGTTTTCGCGTGATTTATTATTTTATCGTCTATGTCCGTTACAGACATAGCCATTACAACATTTATGTTAAAGTGATCTGACAATATTCTCCTAATAATATCTGTTCTCACGTAAGTGCTGCAAAGTGAATTATATTTCATAAAAATGTTTCAATTGGGACTGACAGGAACATGTGAAATGAATGTCTTACGTTGCGTGTCCGATGTGTGCGGAATTATAAACGGTTGGTCCACAAACGTACCAGGTTAAATAATTTTTATTTTTCAAAATTAATGGTACTGTACACTTTGTTGTGGTATTATACACTGTAATGTTTGTCTCATAACCGATTGGTTTAATCCAGTGTGTCTTTTGTTTTTGTTTTGTGTCATACATAGAACGATGACACATTGTTTGTAGTTTCTGTTTAAAATTTCTCGTGACTGAATTCATTCTAGATGTGTTGAACGTCCAATGTCAATGAATATTTATTTATTTCATAATAAAGTTTTATATATCTTAGCGGCTTTTTTCTACTAACAAACGTAAACTAACCTCAAATCGTATTCTGATAAACTTGCAGATTATTTTAGTCCAGATTGGTTATGCGCATGTGTAATTGACGCGCATACTCCTGAAGCTACGTATTTAACACTTCCACGACCGCGCTAGAAACCTCAAAAATTTTCATAAAGTTAAAATATTTCATTCGATTAAACCAAAATTATGAAGCAAACTTATATGGCATCGATTACTTCTTCAGCATTCGTACCTCTTGCAAATCTTAATAAAATTGGGCAATCATTTTTAATTTTTGATTAATCATCCATTCGATCGTCAACCGACTGAATTTAAAACGGGTAGATCTCCCCGTTCGGTTGTGGCTATAAGTGTTAAGCAATTGAATTTGAATATCCTTTACTACATAGGAACTAAAAGTGGTCACGTAAATGTTTGTAAATTCTATTGTACAGACATATTTGCTTTTCCTATTAGTTGCCAGCGTTAATATCAATAAATTAGATGGTACTAGATTAAATAAAGAAAGAGTTTGTAACTTTGCTTATAAAGCCGTTTCGTTTATAAATCCGCTTGTAATTTCTATTTAAAAAATTTAAAATGAAATTTGAAATGCAGTTACACTGCATATGAATTATTTCGCGTTAAACATAAGCAATGTGAAAATAATAGATGTCCTGGGACACATTATAGACACATAACGTGCAATGTTAAATACCTTTATTACATATATGCTGCGATTACTATGTGATTATTCATAATATATTTATAATAATCAGATAATATTATCTTACGTCTCTATACAAAAATAATTACAATAATTAATCGTTATTGGCATAGGCNAGTTAAAATATTTCATTCGATTAAACCAAAATTATGAAGCAAACTTATATGGCATCGATTACTTCTTCAGCATTCGTACCTCTTGCAAATCTTAATAAAATTGGGCAATCATTTTTAATTTTTGATTAATCATCCATTCGATCGTCAACCGACTGAATTTAAAACGGGTAGATCTCCCCGTTCGGTTGTGGCTATAAGTGTTAAGCAATTGAATTTGAATATCCTTTACTACATAGGAACTAAAAGTGGTCACGTAAATGTTTGTAAATTCTATTGTACAGACATATTTGCTTTTCCTATTAGTTGCCAGCGTTAATATCAATAAATTAGATGGTACTAGATTAAATAAAGAAAGAGTTTGTAACTTTGCTTATAAAGCCGTTTCGTTTATAAATCCGCTTGTAATTTCTATTTAAAAAATTTAAAATGAAATTTGAAATGCAGTTACACTGCATATGAATTATTTCGCGTTAAACATAAGCAATGTGAAAATAATAGATGTCCTGGGACACATTATAGACACATAACGTGCAATGTTAAATACCTTTATTACATATATGCTGCGATTACTATGTGATTATTCATAATATATTTATAATAATCAGATAATATTATCTTACGTCTCTATACAAAAATAATTACAATAATTAATCGTTATTGGCATAGGCAAAATCGTTATTTATTGAAATTTATTGAGCACAATTATTTTTTTGTCTTATTTTACACAAGTAAATCTATATTAAAAGTCATTTAAAATTATAAGATCTTAATTATCTCTTATTAACACACACGCACGTTTACAGATGCGCGTGCCTCTTCGTATATTGTGTATATTTATATTTAAATTCATTCTGTAATACCTACAACGCATACTAACAATATATCAAAGTCTTTTTTTTTTATTACACTGGTAATACGAATTCTTGACAAAATACTGAATTATTTCTTCTTCTCCTCTCCACCTCCACCTTCCGTTCGTTCATCCCCGTTATCATTTCCGTCCTCGCCATTGTTCTTTTCACGGCAGAATGTTATTTATACGTGTGTTTACCACCTATTAATCTCGCGAAACTGCGAACAAAATTCGTCAACAACTGCACCTTCGTGGAACGTTCGAAAATGTAAATTTTTACGCTTGCTTTATTTAGTATTTCTCGTCACGCGTGCTTAATCGGGAACCCTGATCAATTCGTGATTATTAATGGTATTTTCGGCATGTTAAACGGATCGTTCGCAATCGGTCAGGGGGTTGAATCTCGCCTCCGGTATCCGCGATCGAGTTCTCCGTTGTCAACCCTCGAGACGCGACAGATCGTTCACTTTATAATGACACTATGGTAGGGGCAAAAGAATCTGATCGTTCAAGACCATTTCGTTTTGTCATCGTTCATATCGCGTTCCGGACTACGTATCGTTTCTATCTATTTTCTAGATTTCTTCCACGTTTTAAGACTGAATTTTTTAAAAACACATAAATCAATGAAACAATATCTAGAGCATGCCTGGTTATTTAATAATCGCGTGGTTACCTCGTTGGCCATTAGCGAGTTCCTAGTTGTCTACAGAAGGGGATTTGAACGTTTGGTTGCCTGTTCAAGGGTAGCCGTCCGAAGAGTGTTTGGTTGCATTGAAAAGGGGACCTGGCTGATGGTAGCCTCCGAAAGTCTAACCCGGTTGCCTTTATCAGAAGGTTAACATAACAATTTGAAGTTACAAAAATCCGAACAGAAATCATCGAAATGGTAAATATTGAACGTTATGTCGTGATTAATAGACTGCGAGAGAACATTCAAAGAATTTAAGATCATTCCTACACATTCTTGACCATTTATTAAAATCATTGAAAGAAGAAATAGATTTTTATTCCAATCTTGTTGCTATCAATTGATTCGAACAATTTTTATTTTCCCTGAAGATCCGCAATCTCTAGCGATGAAACTCCGGAATACCTCCAACGACCAAATCCCTTCGCCTCGTGTTCGACAAAGAAGACGGAGTCCCGCGGTTCCTCATCATCGTGGATGTTCATTAATGAAACGCTGTTCTTCAGCCTTTCGCGCGCCTACTACCCTCCGCGGCCGCGGTTGTCGATTATAAAAACGGTATAAAATTCGTACTGTGTTAATCGAGCTTACGAGAAAAGTTCAGAATCGATTCGAACGCGCAGAGAAACGTTTAGTTTAGTTCTTTCATCTTTTTCTTTTTCTTTTCATCTTTTTGGGGACGCGAAGCGTTTTAAGTAAGTTGCGTGGGCAGTAGTGGTTTAAGGGGTTAAAAGGGGAAGGGGTGTGGCAGTCGTGTTGTAATCTAAAGTAATGGAAAATGGTACGTAGAGCTACAATGTTATCGTTAGCCGTTCGCGGGCGAACGCGAGCTTAAAAATATTCGAATTCGGCATGTATCTCGTGGGTCGAACGACCGTATTCCTCTTCCTTTTCGTTTCTCTCTCTCTCTCTCTCACTTTCTTTATATCTTTCACTCACTCACTCTCACTCTCATCCTCTTTTTCTTCCGCTCTCTCTTACTGCTTCTCTCTCTCTCTCTCTCTCAATCTCTCTCTCTTTCCCTCTGGCGTCGTCGTTTCACCGCGGATCGCTGAGCTCGGGTTATGGAGAACACTTGTTCGCGATCCGGACGCGCAAACAATGGAATTTTATTCGGCGATTCCGCGCCGCGAACGCTGGCTGATCCTCGCGCGGGAAAACGCGTCCGCGTCGATCGATCTCGTAGGGAAGTTTAACGACCTGTTTAACGTTCCAAGGCTCGTTTAGCCCCCCCCCTATACCGAAACGAAACGCGCTGCAGCGATAGGTGAAACGAGCCGGAATAACGCCCGTGGACGATATCCTCTTGCATGCACGCCCTTAAGATGCGCGCGACAGACCCGATGGTCGCAACACGCTCTGCAGCGTAGCATTTATATGGCACGTGTTACGTACACCTGTCGGATCGGATGCAGCGATCTTGCGAAACTGTTCATCTCGAGGTGGGTACGTTCGATCAAAATTTAACGGGGAATGTTTACGGAAAGGATCCCGATCTGGAATCCTTGTTCATAATAACCTTGTCGATCGATGATACCAGTTGTAAATGTGCTAGGTTCTTCTCGAGGTAATCGTGCAAAGAATGCGACAATGTTTCTTGGTTACATAACCTTTTGCAGTCGGAGCCATTTTAACTCAAAATCCAAAATTGTTCTTCTAACCTATAGTATTTCCATGTTACATGACCAAGATCATTGTATACGTATGAAATTGAATATTATGACTCGTGCAACTGTTACGCTTTTAACATTTCTTTTTTAGATATAAACAAATTTGATGATATTGAAATTATGTGCAACTGTTACGCTTTTAACATTTCTTTTTTAGATATAAACAAATTTGATGATATTGAAATTATATTGGAACGTGATATGACAATTTTTAGTCTGCGGATTTTATGCATTTATAATAAAAATGGTTGGATACAATTTCGAGCAATGAAAGTATTAGAAGAATCTAAGAATATCTATATATTACTTTCGACACACTGAGAAACTCTCAAATAAAGAGAGAAATGTTTTGTTATAAAATAAAAAATTACATATCGAGGGAATTGAGAATAAGGGACGAATTCTTTTAACACAGTTCCAGAAGATAAAACGAATGATCTCTGGATATATTGAGAATAGACGAATAGGATATCATTGCAAAAAATATTTGCAATGATAAATAAAATTGCACCATAAATTATGGCGCTGATTGCAGAGAATCGCTGCATCTTTCTCGACCAGTATAACAGAAGTTTCTCGCACCTTTTCGCCTACGCTTATCCATTCCGTTCGCTCTTTCACAGTCTTCGAAATGCGACGAAGCGAGCCGAGAACGTTGGATGTTTCTTGCCACACTCCGTGGCGTTTTGCTTTACGGTTGCGCAACCTTGGTAACTCGTTAATAACGTAGGGTGATCATATCTCGCGCGCCCAACAAGTACTATAAATCATGTCGCCTTAGCTTATGATACAATAAACGCATGGTTCGCTCCAAGAGTCGTCGAATTTACATTAAAGTTGCTAATCCTCTGTAAGCTTATCGGCGATTTCGTTCACGATCTTTTCAAACGCTTCGCGAACTCGAGAAACGCGCGCTTCAACATCGCAGAAGCTTCACTTCTGCGATCTCGAAGAAGTATCAAAAGTGTTCCGCGTGTTCGTGTAAATCCTGAAAACTATACCTGTAAATCTTGGAAAACAAGTTTATGGATTATCGATCAGGAAAAGCGCGTCAACGTCTCGCGCGGATGTTTTAATGTAAATTTTTAAACCACTGGATAAACCTTGCGCAGTTACGATAATAAATATAAAGTACAAACGGAATCCTATAAAATAAATCGTCGGGAATCCACTTATACGAAATTAACGGAGCATTATAAATCGTAACCAAAGCTACGTGGAAAATTAATGTATAGTGCGATGAGTTAGGAAAGATATCCTTGGTCGCCCGATCGAAACCGTTTACGCCGTCGACATATACAAAGAGAACAATTCCTACAATCGTTTTTAATAATTCTCTCTTGACGCACACTTTTCAATGGTACGCGAAAAAACAATTTCTGTGCAACGGTCTCTCCTAACTCGACAAATACGCTCGCGAAACTCTCCTAAAACTATTAGTTATAATCCTCGCGTAAAAACTGCGCTATCGTAAAAAAAATTCATGCCGACAACGTTCTCATTCACGACGTAAACTTGTAAGCGGAGAAAAATGATACTTTGGCTGCGGTGGAACTTCTATAGAAGAGATCCTAACGTAATCCTAATCGTATAACGTGGAGAAAAACGTGGAAAAGTGTCTCGTGCGCTGCTCGATGGAATATCTGGTTCGCTTTGCGACGCCTTTCCGCCGATTCTAATTGATACGATCACCTTATTCTCGCATAACACCTCTTAACTTAAACGACCTAAGGGCTAAATAAAGATTCGTTTCGCGCAAACAGCGGGTAACTAGACGATTCAAGAACGAAAACTAAACGAACCGTGTTCCCCCCGCAGGGCGGTTAAAGCTTCGAAAATGAGCAACATACATACAGAATGAGTCTAAGATAACCAACAGACGCGTATATGTGTGTGTATATATATATATTTATATAATATATTTATATATCACTTCGAAAATCGTTAAAAAATCTTATCTTCTTTTTTCATTTTTTTTTCCTTCCTCTTTTGTTCATCATCATCATCTTTAAAACTCTATCCACGGTTACGTAACATCGTTATAATAACACCGCATTTATCTAGACCCGTACTGTACACGGAAAAATTTTTTCGCGTCGCCTACATCCAACAATAAATAATTCAGCTGCAGAGAAACAACACGGGACGTGTCTGTGTCTGTCCACACTTTACGACGCGCGCTTATTATACATACAATATATACCTATCGTCATCACCATCGTAGAACTATCCCTCGTCTCCTGCACTATTATTACAATCCGCGATACTTCGACATCGAAATAGATCGCGTCTCGACTCGATTGCACTTTCGTCATTCGTTTAGTTCCGACCGTGGGAAGATTTACCTGCCGAATTAAATACGTCGGGTCAGAAAATCGAAAATTAAACGTAGCATGGTCCGATGGAAAAAACACTGGAGTGAATTAGAGTAACGCCTAGATTGGATCTTTATGTGAGATCAGCTTTTCATAGCTTATCTTTCGGACATTTGAACGTATAATTACCGACTTTTTGAACTTTTAAATATTTTCTGAAACTTTCTGAACCACGAATTGAAGTTGACAATTTTCTTTTAAATTTCATTGTTTCTTATTTGGAAGAGAAGTCTTCTTCAACACTAAAAAAACTTTCGGTCACCCTCGAAGGCAAATTAGAATAGAGAAGGTCCTGTATGATACAATCCTGTATTATAAATCGCAAGACAATAGAAGAATTGTTGAGGGTGTTAGCAGGGTATTGTATCTGTCAGTAGGGTGTTACGTAGAATTCCTGTGGGTGTCAGAATTGTTCCGGGAGTTCTTCATCTCCGGTTAATAACATCAAAGCTTCCTGTTAATAACAATAGCGTTCCGGGCGAATAAAAGCGAGTATCTCTGATAATGCACCATCCCAGACAGTAAACTTAATAAAAATTCTTCAAGATCCTAAATGAGAGGTTCCTCCAGCTGCGCCCCTGCTCGCGCTAGACTGTGCCTCGACGGATTGCCGACTTTCCTTTTTCTTTCTCGTCGAAATGCCCCGGGAGGTATTTCCATCCACCGTGCAAAATTAATTCGAGTCGAAAAAAAGTCGCGAACAATGGTCTCTAGTGTTGCCGAATAATTCCGGGCAAAATTGAAAATTCTTTACGTAACACGAGAACTTACCGAGACAGGCAAACATGAAAGAAGATTAACATTGGCGAATTAACGCAGAGCATGCTACGATCGATAGATTGAACGCTTCCGATCATTTTCGAACAAAATTTCGAACACTTTATGTATCACAGGAACTTAGGGGACGGTCAAATATAAGATTAACTTTGACGGATTCGATTAAGAACGGGTGGCGAACGGTAGATTAAGTGCTGCCGAACAATTTCAGACAAAGTTACAAATTCCTGATGTACCGCAAGAACTTAAAAAATAGGTAAATATAAGAGAAGATTTACATTGCTTAATTAACGCATGGCACATTACGAGCAATAGATTATCTCTGCTGTCGAATATTTGCGAATAAAATGAAAAATTCTTTACGTACCAGGGACTTACAAAACAATCAAATATAAAGGAAGAGTAATTTTGATGTGTTCATCAAGAGCAAATGGCGAACAATACATTAAATATCGTCAAACGTTTTTGAACGAAATTAAAAACTCTATATTCGCGAGAGACCTGTGGAAATTACCGAAGAACGAAATTATTTTTGATGAATTAATCGAAAGCAATTTGGCGAACAGTGAATTAAGTATCGTCAAACATTTTCGAACATAATTAAAAATTATTCACAAGAGACCACATGAAATTATAGAACAAAGAAGATTGACTCGACTGTTAACCGAGTTAATTGAGAGACAAGTTTCTAACACAGCAACGTGTCAGAGTGACGGGGGGTTTGGTTATAAACAGACTGCGGATTTTATGCGTTTATGGCGAAAATGAGTAGCTGAAATATAAAATTGTGAAGACACATCAAAAGAATTGAATAATACAGTTACACCATTGTCAACTCATAAGAATTATTAAATACATTTTTTAAATTTCTGTTTCCTAGAATCGTCTTGTATAAAATTTCTATTTCGCATAAAGATCCGCGATCTAGTTATAAATCGGGATTCTAAATGAATAGAATTGAATTCGAGTTGTGCAATCAAGCGAGATCGGCGATCGTCGCATTCGATTCGAGGAATCGCCGCAGAAAGGAAACTCTAGTCCCTCGAGATCTCTCGTATATCATCCTGCCATCGTTCTCCAGCATTCTTTACGGACGGCTGAATAGGGCCCGCTATAATTTGACGTTGTTCGTTTCATAGTGTTAGAGCCATTACCGCCGATCGCTTCGCCGTCGGTCGTTTCACCTGTCAGAACAGAATCACTCTATCCGAAATCGCGATTCTCATCGACGCGGCCGAACGGACTCCCTCCTTCCTTTCCTCTCTCTCTCTCTCTCTCTCTCTCTCTCTCTCTCTCTTTTTCTCCGTTCCCCTAATCATCGACATCACGATAACAACTTCTATCACGAATCCTCCGGAAAGCATATATTATATATCTCATACTATAATTCGCGCGAGAAACATATTCATCTGTTTTCTGTTTCATTTTGTTAAATTACTTTCATCGTTCGCCGTCCTCGTCAACCTTTCTCTCCCTCTCTCCCTCCTTCTCTCTCTCTCTCTCTCTCTCTCTCTCTCTCTCTCTCTCTCTTCTGTACGAGAATTATAACGATCCCGCGCGACGTTCCTCGCGAACGAGACAACGGGGAACGTCGTCCGTGCAGTTAGATAGTTCTCTAGATGCTTGTGTCTGCGTTTTTAGCGTCAGTTCCCTTCCCTTGAATCCAGGAGCTTGTTAATTTTCTTAGTAACGGGTGCGTCGAGAAACGTTTAAGGGCGATATTGTTGCGTCGATCGAGATCGAGCCTGCTTAGAATCATGTGGTCGGCGTGTTGGATGACGGCGGCGTGTCGGTGCGCCATAACGAGCTGCCCGACTGGCTGATCGTGTTGATCTGCAAAGAAAATTTCATTTCGTTAACTTCCTGCCAGATGTATAGGAAAATTTGTAAATTTCGAAGCACAGATCTTAGATTTCAGTGATAGCTGTAGGCCCAAATTGGAATCTCAACGCTAGAACTACCAAACCAGTTAAAACGATCGGTCTCCGATTGTTTCTTTTACAGTTCCTGATGTTACGAAAATATTTCTAAGAGAAATAGAGATACTTCTTTATATTCAGATATATATTATAATATAAATCACACGAAGTTGAAATAAATCCAGTCTTGGCATTGTTATGAAACAATACACGTTAATTATGTTTAGGACTCGGTAGTTCTAGTGTTAATTGTTTTTTTAGACACTTTGTTCCTTCGCACTTTTTAACCCTGCTGTTTTCCGCCATAGTGTTTTAAATTTAAGCAATGTTACTGGAGTTGTTAATCGAATTTCCAAAATTGGTGGATGGTCGATGGAAATTGGTACGGCGAGGTATCCTACGATGAACTAATTCGTTCTAGAATTTCGTTCGTTATAGGATGAATTCATTGATATTGATATATCTGTTATCGAATATTTTTACCAAATATACAGCACGGTTATTATCGAATACAATGATTTCACGAAAAATAGGATAAATTTAATATAAAATAAAAAGATATAGGGATATCACGATTGCAAATTAATTTGATAAAAATTGGTATCCTATGACGAACTAATTCGTTCTAGAATTTTTTTCGTTCGTTACAGCATCCATTCGTTACAGAATACATCGTTTGATATTGATGTTGTATGTTATCGAATATTTTTACCAAACGTACAGCACAGTTATTATCGAATACGATGACCTCACACAAAATAGGGTAAATTTAATATGATATAAAAAGATATAAGAACATAAATTTAATTTAATTTTTATATAATTTATATATAAATTTAATTTACTACATTTGAATTTTTTATACACTGGACGTATGTGTAAATTTATAAAAAAAATCTATACGGAAGAGGAGATTTCTCATTCATTTAATGAGAAAAACTAAGAGAAAAAATAAGAATTTTTGCGTTATTAATACCTATATCTAGTGAATTGTTAAAAATGCAAGTAAATATATGAGCAAATGCGGCTAACATCATATTATTAAAATTGAATATAATCGTACAGAACTGGCTATTGTAGGTCAGAAAAAGTGTTTCGTCGTTATTTCATTAATATTAAATCCACCGAGGCGGTCGAAGTGATCGATTTCACAGATTTCGCTTGAAAATTGCAGAAATAATGAAAACTCTTCAACAGTAAAAGGATTGAATAAATTTTGCGGTTCAAGTGTGCGTTATGATAGAAAAGACAAGAAAGATCTTTTCATCGTTACAAAGCTGTACACGTTAGTTGCTTCTGGGTCATGGTAGATTTATTGAAAAAGGTAGCATCGAGAGCGCACTGACGATGTTTTACATTATCAAATTTGTTTAAGATTAAAAAAACAAAAGACCGTCCGATGTGCAACTACTATACGAGTTACAAGATCGAATATCGTCTGCATAAAATGCAGTAAGTCTTGTAAAATGCGAATACGCTAAATCGGAAGAGTTATTTTGGATTTAGAGTTAAAATGGCTTCGAGAGGGTAAGATGTTAAGAAGCTACGAATCGGAGGTCAACGCGCGCGTACACCGCTAGACAAATAATTCAGCGATACCGAGATCGATGATGAACTGTCGCGACGACGGACGGAGTAGAAAAAGAGAGAACTACATATTCGAATGGGAATGCATTTTCGCGCATCAGAACACCATCATCGGCTGTTATATGGCGGCAGGAACGAGCGAACGTGTTTCCTGGGAATCGAGAGAGCGTTTCCAATTCGAACGAGACTCTAAATCGCGAGAGTTACGAACCGGAGCGGCGCGGCGGCGTGGGTCGCGGCGCGGACAAGCGGCCGCCGCGCCGCCGCCTCTACGATCGTCAATTAATTGTCACCTTATTGTCGTGTCCGATTAATGGAGTTTCTGCCGTGGTCTCGTCGCTGGCGCGACTCATGTACGGATGCGGGGGTGGCACATAAATCGGCTTGGAATGACTGGCGACTTGCGCGTAAATCGTCGGTTCCTGGATTGGCTGCCTGCGCGTCAGGGTCGACATGGGTAGCAGTTGAGGTCGCTGAATATTGGACACCTGTACCGGCTGATAACAATTAGGCGGTATTCGTCGGGTGCCCCGAAGCGACAGCTCGGCGTACGTCAGCTCTGATCCCTGGAAAATCGGAGAATGTGCGATTTGTTACCGATTACCGCAGGGCTAGCTACAGGAAATCTAATGCTGCCTCTCTCTCTCTCCCTCTCTTTCTCCCCCGGCCCTCTCTATCTCTACCAGTATAATTGCATCGGCCTCGTAAGGTGATTATAGAGAACGGTCGACACGATTCCGCGATCGGTTCATTTGCTATCGGATCACCTTTGTCCCGTCTAATATCGATTTTTCTGCACTAATTCGCGGATACTGGAACCGGCTATCCTCTCTTGGCTTGTTGGAGTTGCCAGCGAGTCTCGAACCAGAGGCGAAAATCGGTCAAACTTCGTACGAGTTTCTCCGGTAAATTGTACTGTAAGTGGAAGTGTTGGTTTGGCGCGGAAAACAATCGGCACAACTTCCATATGTATTTAACACTTGATTTACGGTTCACTAAAAGCAGCCGTTTTCTATTAGTTTATATAAATAATAATTTATTAATAATAATTTATAATAATTTATTCGGATTTCGAACGAGCGGTGTCGTAATATTTGCCGCAAGTAACGTACATATTTATTTATTTATTAACTCTATAAATCGGATGATTTGTTTAGCAAATATAAGGTTGTTACATGTACTACATATCGCTGTTTTAATTGAATACTGAGACATTTGAAAAAAAAATAACGTGATTTTGAGATATTTTACTGTTTCATACAAAATACGGTAAATTCTCCCCAATTTCTCTTCAGCTTGTAAACAAAAATGGACAATTTGGGAAGAGGAGACACGATTATTCGAGCCTTGCACCTCGTTTTTGTAATTGTTGACAATAGGCAACTATAAAAATCAGCCGTGATGCTCGAATAATCGTTTCTCCTCTTCCTAAATCGCCCACTTTTGTTTACAAACTGAAGGAGAATCGGGGAGAACTTACTGTGTTATTATCTGGACAATACAATACTGACGTATCTTTAAATGTACAAGGCAAAAGTTCTTTTTTTAAAATAAATAAATAATAATGAGTAAAAGATAGTAACAAGTCAGAGATAATATTAAGTAAAAAATAGTAAGAAGTAATAAATGAATCCTTTTTTTCTGACAGCAACGAATAGACTGCGGGTTTTATGCATTTATGATAAAAATGAATAGATGAAACACAAAACACTGGCGCTATCACAAAAATGTCATAATTTCGTTATATTATTTATAACTCCTTAAAATTGTTCAAAAACGAAAGAAGTGTTTATGCAATACCTGTCCCTTGCAACGGATGCGTAAAATTTGTATTTTGCATAAAGGTCCGCTGCCCAGTAATGAACCTTTAACGGACGCGTAAAAGATCCGACTAAATGTCTTGTTGTTACATTTACAAACCAATATAAAACAATTGCTTCCAACGCTCCGTAAATGTAGTGTTAAGAAGCTTACAGAGTCCGTAACAAATCGAAATCCTTGTAAAACTTTGATTCCTCGACGGCCAGCTTCGCACTTGAAACATATCTCCGCCCGTGAAGTGCTTAAAAATGTATATTTTTTACAATTGTTAATTTCGCAGGGAATTTAGCAGAACTTCCGGCAACGTTGAATGTTAATGCTGTTGAAACGGACACGGGGACTGGTCATTTCCGACCGAGAAGCATGCTCGACTCGAAAAGTCTTTAACGAGAAATGAAGAGAGGGTGGCGGTGGGGGCGTGCGCGCGCTGTTTTAAAAGTTACGAGGGTCACCACTCAAAGTTTTCGTGCTCTATCGAATCCTTTTCCCTTTATTTTTGGCACGTGACACGTATGGAACTTCGCACACTGGAATGGAGCGAGAAAAAGAGAAAGAAAGAAAGAGAGGAAGAGAGAGGATGAGAGGATGAGAGGAAAAGAGGAAAAGAGGAAAAGAGGAAGAGAGAGAGAGACAGAGAGAGAGAGAGAGAGAGAGAGAGACACAGAGAGAGAGAGAGAGAGAGAGAGAGAGAGAGAGAGAGAGAGAGNCGCGAGAGAGAGAGGGAAAGAGAGGAGAGAAACAGCGAAAGAGAGGAAAAGAGAAAAAGAGAGAGAGAGAGAGAGAGAGAGAGAGAGAGAGAGAGAGAGAGACAGAGAGAGAGAGAGAGAGAGAGAGAGAGAGAGAGAGAGAGAGAGAGGGAGAAGGAGCACAGCCCCGTTCAATTAATGCAATTTGTACTTACGTTATTGACATTGGCGAAAGTGCTCGCGTCTGTTCGTGGCTGGTGCAGAACGTACCGGGGAGAAGTGCCCTTGCACAGTTCCGCGTAAGAATTTTCTGTGGAAAAACAGTTCAAGATGATTGTTAACTGTTTCACGGCTGCTGCCGGCAAGAACTTTTCGCCACATTCGTTTCCCGGCCAGAACTTCAAAGAAACGGCCTTCTTCTTCGTCTTTTTAACCGTTACCCCGACGCTCCTCCGAGCACGTATAATTAGAACCGTCTTTTCGCTCGCGCCGCTGTTTTTATTGCCGAAACCTCGTTCGGGACAAATGCGCTCCGAATTTACAGTTGAATGCACAGACGATCCTTACTCCAAGACAAATCGACGTGCAATTTTACTTACATATTTTACTCTTTATTTTAAGCGAGATCTCTAGCTCAAAAGAAAAGCAGATAAAGTGATGCGTAATATACTTACAATGCAGATAAGGCTGAAAGAAATTCACCGGATTATGTAGCTTCGCAAAAATGTGTGCGGCTGGATTAAATACACTTACCGACGAAAGTTAAGAAACTTAGTATATATCGTTAACATTTTATTAAAATTTAATATTTCATTAAACATACGTTTTATCAACTTAACAGTACATATTATAGCGAAGCACATGTGTCACATTGTTTATATTGTAATACTGTTTTATCCGGTGCATGTGACAAACAAAGAAAGGCAATGAAAATAAAAACAAGTAAAAGATACACAAAAATAATATAGAAATAAAAATGAAACATTAAATAACTATAAAAAGAAGTAGAATTGGTATTTTCATTGACACAATACAAATCTTTATCCTACGTTAAGAATGTTTATTGCAACCAAGATCATACAACGTAATCTGTGTAGCATGTTTCTTAACTTTTGTCGGTAACTGTCAAACTTGAAACTTTTTAAAATGTTTCATCGTTATTAGACTGCGGATTTTATGAATTTATGAGAAAAGTGAACAGGTCAAATACAAAACTGTAAAGACATTGGAAGAATTTCAGATTGTTGTTACATTATTTTCAACTCTTGCTACAAGTATTGAAACAAATTTTCATCCGACTTATGATCCTTGCGATCAACTGTGACAATTTTTATTTTGCACAGAGATCCGCCGTCTAGTTATTACCACAGTATTCGTATAATCGTACACAATAAATCAAATCGCGAAGACAATTAATTATCTAAGTAAAACAATTCCTGTGGAGCTTTTCTTAGGATCGTAACGATTACGTACGATAAAGAATCTAGAACGGCGGGTTTTCAATGAGAAAAATCGTGGTAATACCGTTTGCCGAACATCTAATTGGGATTCGTCGAGCGGAGAACAAAGGCAACAACGATCAGGAACGTTTCATTATTTCCGGACGGTTCCTGCTTTGCTCCCGCGAAGCTTCCAATAACCGTGCCATTGAATAAACTATTGACTTTAATAATAAAATTGATCGATCATTCATCGGCATCCGGCCTCGAGCCGGTCAGGGAAAGTTCTGCAAGTACCGGGGCAAGAAAACCGCCGGAGAACGGAATTTTTTGGTGGAAACTGCTCCATTGTAACGAGCTAATTGCCAGCATTTCTTTTCGCCAGACTTTCCACGACTCTTCGTCGAGGTATCGGATATACCGTGAAACGCGCCAGTTAATTCTTCGAACGCGGCGTCTGTTCCGAAGTGCACCGTCACCGACGAGCTTGTTCGTTCGCGATTGGTCGAGTTATCTTACTCTTCGTTAAGCGCGGAGGTGTTCCAAGATCATGCTGTATTTATTTAGGCCCGCGACTCGCGAATAATTGAGAAAGAATAATTGAGAAAGCGAGATGATAATTGCTATGCGAATACTACTTCGCGGCAACAAAGTTCGTTCTTTTATGAAGAATCACCCCCTTCTCGGTTGTACCACCGAGTCGTTGCGTTTTTTTCTCCGTAAATGAAAGACAAATTTTCCATGAAAATAAAATCTTTAATCAATAATGGATTTTCCATTTTGTTCGATTACATTTTGCCATCTTTCAGGCAACTTCATCGTACCACGTTCACATAACTTTTTATGTGCTTCCAAAGCCTTTTTTCCTTTTCGGAAGTAGTAAAGTAAAATATGACGAAAATGCTAGTCAGAATTAACCGTGTCAAAATTAATGCCGAATAGACAAACTTAAACAAAATTACGGAAGACTTTTTTTTTAAAAAACAAGTTCAAACCATAACCCATCAGGGTATACAGCGAATTTACGGTTTCGAAATTGAAACGGTTTGGGAAAGAACGGTTTAGGAAGAAACGCAATGACCTATTGGCCAACCCAATATACATGGTGTCCCAGGTTTCTTCGGCCAAACGGATCAACACATTTTATCAATGAAAGTAATAAGAAGAATGTCATATTAGCATAGGCTTGAAAATGGTTTATTAAAAAATTATAAGAAAACTACGAAATAACAACGGATTGATTTTCGTATGATGTAAAAATATGTTAGTGGCATTTCTCTTTACTGTATTTACTTGTCCAAGCTATGTTTACTAAGCCGTTTAATTTTTCATAGATGTCAATGCTGCATTTACAAAAACAGGCAACACTTCGAAATAGAGCGAACCTATATAGATAAATATTCCCGATCAGACCGTTATCGTTCCGTATGTCTCTTATAATATTTTAAGAAATCTCAGTCTATGTTTATATGACAGTTCCTTCTTATTTTCGCTCGTAGAGTATGCTGATACCGTTCGGCCAAAAAAACCTAGGACATCCTGTATATCAATTTATTTCGACCTTCTTTTTTTCTTTTCTCTCTTTGTCTATACTCGTGCAATTATTATATAAAAATCTCTTTCTTTTGATTACTTCTTCTATAAAATTTTCTATCTCTTCGTATGAATAAATAAATAATTATTATTATTACTACTATTAAAACGTTCTAAAAATGATGTACTCTGTCTCGGCTCCCCAGGACGCCCTACCTAGGACACCCTGTATATCAATTTATTTCGACCTTCTTTTTTTCTTTTCTATCTTTGTCTATACTCGTGCAATTATCATATAAAAATCTCTTTCTTTTGATTACTTCTTCTATAAAATTTTCTATCTCTTCGTATGAATAAATAAATAATTATTATTATTACTACTATTAAAACGTTCTAAAAATGATGTACTCTGTCTCGGCTCCCCAGGACGCCCTACCTAGGACACCCTGTATATCAATTTATTTCGACCTTCTTTTTTTCTTTTCTCTCTTTGTCTATAGTCGTGCAATTATCATATAAAAATCTCTTTCTTTTTATGTAAAATTTTCTATTCCTTCGTATGAATAAATAAATAATAATTATTATTACTACTATTAAAACGTTCTAAAAACGATGTGCTCTGTCTCGGCTCCCCAGGACGCTGCTATCGGCAGCGAAGCTATCAAAAAATCGTGCGGTCAGCAGGTCGAGCGACTCGTAAATCGCGGCTGCACTCGAGCCGTATAAGTCGGCCGGCTCCTTCTGAAAGAATATTGGGCGTCAGGTGTTCGCGACATCGACCGTCAACGTCTCGAGGATGCGTCTAATCGCCGCGCGACGAGCGGCCGGTGCAGCGAAGTGGAACAAAACTGTCGGCAAGCGAAAGGAGTTGCATAGATTGCGCGGCGGGAGCGATAGCATTGGGAGTGGGGGAGGGGTTTGGCAGGGCTCGATCGGCGTTGAACGATGGTTGCAACACGCCAGATGGTCGTTAAATTACCCACCATTAGCGTGAGGAATTATATCGGGGTCCTTCTCGAAGCTCTCGATGCTGTCGGAGTTGAGAGGCAAGGTCGACGATTTATCACGTGGAGAGGAGCTGCCGGTGCCGGACGCGGCCAGGTTCGCCATGCCGCCGTCGTCGTGAGAGTCCTTGTCCTCCTGCGGCCTTGGTCGATAGCGTAATCTCACCGCGAGCACTATCACGAAGATCACCAAGAGCAGGCCAGCCGTCGCGCCGACGACCGCGCCGAGCAGCGGCCCGGACAACGACAGCATCACCGGTGTCAGCGCTGGAAATCGCAGTAAATGCTTCTCAGTACACCCCTCGGCTTCTGGCCCAACCTCCTCGACCTCCTCAACATCCTCAACATCCTCCTCGACCGTCTCCCTCCCCTCTTACGACGGCAATCCTCCCAACGAGATTGGGGTTTTGATCGTTGAAAGGACCGCTGATCTCGCGGGGATTTCCTTTGGGAGGCTTGCGCTCTGCGAGGAGGGATCGCCCGGGATAAGGGGTTCGCGAGGCTTGATTTCTTGTCTTTGCTTGCATTGTTTCGGGACCCGGGACTACCTCACGGCGGCTCTGTCTTTCTAATCGCTATACGGAATCGCCGCTATACGAATCAGTCCGACCGGAGATGCGCGGCTGGTCTTTCCTATCTGACAGTTTTCGGTCCGCAGACTGTTTTGACCCGCACGGGGAACAGTAGTTCGGATTTGCCGAAGCCCGAATCAAAGTCTTCGTTACATACCGCTCGAAAACCTTATAGCATAGACAAACTTCGCGATCGAAATTGACTAAATTTCACCGACGATAAGTCCGCGAGAAATCATCGTAGGATGATGATCCTTTTTTCTAATTAAAGTCTGGACTCTCTTCTTTATGATAGTGTTATACAGTGTATATGTTACAGTGAAACACCGAAATCTGGAGAATGTCGACTTTCACCGGTGAATGTCAACATTCGCATAGTCGCTTGGTGTATGTCCGAAATATTTGCTAAATACCCTTATTTCTGACTTACACCGGTAAATGTTGACATTCACCGTGCACTAATGGTGAATGTTGAACATGTTGGAGATTTACATTTTCTTCTCCGTAATTCAGTCGCTATAAAACGCCACAAGGGTGACGTAACTTTTTCGCCTCTCTTTCTGAAAGGAATGACCAAGAATTTAAAATACAC